AATAATGGTACTAAAAGAATTCACATTGTATAGTTGCCCTATAAAATCAGCATTCAGTGAGTTAAAGGAAAAATACAATGGTTTAAGGTCAATTTTATTTTTATTTTTTTCAGGTTCTTTCAGCTGTATCTCACCACATTCTTCTGGGTTATTATTATTATACAAAATGCTATAATCAAAAATATGCAAAAGTAAGCAAATAATCAGGGCAAATATTACTTTATAAATAATGTTATAATAACCATTCCGTATTTATAGCTGCCTAAAAATAATCAGCATTTATTGAGTGAATTTATAATTTGTTGTATGTGTAATATTTATTATTATTATTATTATTATTATTATACAGGATTTATATAGGGCCAAAAGTTTAAGCAGCACTTTACAACATAGGGGCAGACAGTACAACTACAATACAAATTAATACAGGAGGATTCGGAGGGCCCTGCTCATTAGAGCTTACAACCTAAGATATATACAGTGGGGATCGAAAGTTTGGGCACCCCAGCTAAAAAATTGTATTAATGTGCATAAAGAAGCCAAGGAAAGATGGAAAAATCTCCAAAAGGCATCAAATTACAGATTAGACATTCTTATAATATGTCAACAAAAGTTAGATTTTATTTCCATCATTTACACTTTCAAAATAACAGAAAACAAAAAAATGGCGTCTGCAAAAGTTTGGGCACCCTGCAGAGTTAATATCTTGTACTGCCCCCTTTGGCAAGTATCACAGTAAACACTTTTTGTAGCCAGCCAAGAGTCTTTCAATTCTTGTTTCAGGTATCTTTGCCCATTCTTCCTTACAAAATTCTTCCAGATCTTTGAGATTTCTGGGCTGTCTGTCACGCACTGCTCTTTTAAGGTCTATCCATAGATTTTCAATTATGTTGAGGTCAGGAGATTGTGAAGGCCATGGCAAAACCTTCAGTTTACGCCTCTTGATGTAATCCCCCGTGGATTTTGAGGTGTGTTTAGGATCATTATCCATTTGTAGAAGCCATCCTCTCTTTAACTTCAGCTTTTTCACAGATGGCATCAAGTTACCATCCAAAATTTGCTGAAATTTTATTGAATCCATTTTTTCCTTCTACTCGTGAGATGTTCCCTGTGCCACTGGCTGCAACACAACCCCAAAGCATGATTGATCCAACCCCATGCTTACCAGTTGGACAGAGGTTCTTTTCATGAAATTCTGTGCCCCTTCTTCTCCAAGCGTACCTTTGCTCATTCCGGCCAAAAAGTTCAATTTTAACCTCATCGGTCCACAGAACTTGTTTCCAAAATGCATCAGGCTTGTCTATATGTTCATTTGCAAAGTTCAAACGATGATTTTTGTGGTGAGGACGTAGAAGAGGTTTTCTTCTGATGACTCTTCCATGAAGACCATATTTGTACAAGTATCTCTTTATAGTGGAATAGTGTACCACAACTCCAGTGTCTGCCAGATCTTTCTGGAGGGATCGTGCAGTCAAACGTGGGTTTTGAATTGTTTTTCTCACAATCCTGCGAGCTGTTCTGTCTGATATTTTTCTTGGTCTTCCAGATCTTTCTTTAACTTCCACTGTTCCTGATGACTGCCATTTCTTAATTACATTCCGAACAGAGGATATTGACATCTGAAAACGCTTTGCTATCTTCTTATAGCCTTCTCCAGCTTTTTGAGCGTCAACTATTTTCAGTTTCAGTTTTCTAGACAACTGCTTAGAAGAACCCATGGTGCTGATTGTTGGGGCAAGGTCGGATGAGTCTGGGCATTTAAAACCTTTGAGATTGACATCACCTGGTCTTCCCAGACGATGATTGAGAACAATCCATGACACTGGCAGGTCTCAGCTTTGCAAAGGGGGCAGTGCATGCTATAAATTCTGCAGGGTGCCCAAACTTTTGCAGACGCCATTTTTTTGTTTTCTGTTATTTTGAAAGTGTAAATGATGGAAATAAAATCTAACTTTTGTTGACATATTATAAGAATGTGTAATCTGTAATTTGATGCCTTTTGGAGATTTTTCCATCTTTCCTTGGCTTCTTTATGCACATTAATACAAATTTTTAGCTGGGGTGCCCAAACTTTCGATCCCCACTATATATATATATATATATATATATATATATAGTAATTTCAATAATAGTTTATATATACACACTATATTACCAAAAGTATTGTGCCAGCCCTCCAAATCACTGGATCTAGATGTTCAATCACCTCCATCTCCACAGGTGTAAAAAAATCAAGCCCCTAGGCATGCAGACTGCTTCTACAAACATTTGTGAAAGAATGGGTCGCTCCCAGGAGATCACTGAATTCAAGCGTGGTACCGGGATAGGTTGTCACCTGCGCAATAAGTCCATCCATGAAATTTCCTTGCTACTAAATATTCCATGGTCGACTGTTAGTAGTATTATAACAATGTGGAAACAACTGGGAACAACAGCAACTCAGCCACGAAGTGGTAGGCCACATAAAATGACAGAACAGGGTCAGCGCATGCTGAAGCGATCAGTGCGCAGAAGTCACCTACCGTCTGCAGAATCAATAGCTAAAGACCTCCAAACATTGTGTGGCCTTCAGATTAGCACAACAACAGTGTGTAGAGAGCTTCATGTAATGGGTTTCCATGGCTGAGCAGCTGCATCCAAGCCTTACATCACCAGGTGCAATGCAAAGTGTTGGATGCAGTGGTGTAAAGCACGCTGCCACTGGACTCTAGAGTAGTGGGGATTTATTCTCTGGAGTGATGACTCACACTTCTCTGCCTGGCAATCCAATGGATGTGTCTGGGTTTGGCGGTTGCCAGGAGAACGGTACTTTCCTGACTGCACTGTGCCAAGTGTAAAGTTTGGTGGAGAGGGGATTATGGTGTGGGGTTGTTTTTCAGGGGTTGGGCTTGGCCCCTTAGTTCCAGTGAAGGGAACTCTTAAGGCATCAGCATACCAAGACATTTTGGACAAATTCATGCTCCCAACTTTGTGGGAACAATTTGGGGATGGCCCTTTCCTGTTCCAACATGACTGTGCACCAGTGCACAAAGCAAGGTCCATAAAGACATGGATGAGCGAGTTTGGGGTGGAGGAACTTGACTGGCCTGCACAGAGTCCTGACCTCAACCCCATAGAACACATTTGGGATGAATTAGAGTGGAGACTGCGAGCCAGACCTTCTCATCTGACATCGGTGCTTGGCCTCGCAAATGTGCTTCTGGAAGAATGGTCAAACATTCCCATAGACACACTCCTAAACCTTGTGGATGCCTTCCCAGAAGAGTTGAAGCTGTTATAGCTGCCAAGGGTGGGCCAACTCAATACTGAACTCTACGGACTAAGACTGGAATGGCATTAAAGTTCATGTGCGTGTAAACCAGGTGTCCCAATACTTTTGGCAATATACTGTGTGTGTGTGTATATATATATATATTTTAAAATAAAAAAATGGAAAGATATAGAAAAGATTCTGTATCTATCCCCCATTACCATTTGATGTTACATTATTTTATTGTTTGGGATAGCTGCATTTATACACGTTAACAATTTGTTATCTTTTACACTTGGAAATTTTTTTGTTATATAAATCAAATATTTGTCTAGAGTTCCTCTTTATAAACCAGATGACTTTTGGCAGGCTCCTATATCGCAGCACATCCCTCTATATACATATGTACATGCACCACTGACCACCCTTGACCTGGCCCTCCTTGCAGCTCTGTTTACCATGAAAATAACACCCAGCAATTTATGGACTCCAACAGCTCAAAAAGAAAAATCCCTTTCCGGCGGCTGGTAGCGCGTTCCCTGCTGGTGGTTTTACACGTTTGAACTGAACCGATAGAGATGACATTTTTTTTTTTTTGTATGGCAAAGTGTTAAGGTCACCCTGAGATGATGAGGAATAATAAAACAGAATCCCGAGGAAATCTGGGTTTGCAGAAGGAAATGCAAAGTTTACTCTGTTCAGTGTATCGGCAGAACAAAGACGCCGGTTCCCCAGTGTAAACTACAATTCAGTTCTGAAGTGCAAATATTTTAAAACTATATAAGATTTGACAGGCAGCAAAGCAATATAGTGTGCAGCGGCATTACGGATCAGCGGCTTGCGGGTGAGTTGCTTAACTCGTTACATGCTACTAACTAACTAAAGGCTTTTGTTAACGAGCAACTCCATATAACATGGAACTTCAAGTGGTGGACTATTAATGCTTTTTTTTTTACGTGCATTTCCACTTCTGCAACCAATTTGGGATAAGACCTACTTTATATTTGTTACATGTTCCCATTGACATAGAATAACGTTAACAAAAATTGCTGGTTACCTTTATAAAGCGGAGCTCCACCCAAAAGGGGAAGTTTCATTTTAACATTTGTCCCTCACTCCCCATTAAGGATTGGCACCTTTGGGGAGCGGGTACCCGAATTTGAAAGGTACCCGCTCCCACTTCCACTGCGATCGCCAAGGCGATCAGAAGTGGAAGTTGTCCTCCCACCCTCCCTCCCCGTACTTTTTTGGGACACGTGACAGGTCCCAGAAGACTATGGGGCCATTCACAAAGCACAGCGCTTCTCACGCATTCGCAGTGGGTACCCGGCTGTGAAGCTGCAAGCTGTCACAGCCGGCTGCCCACACAGAACATGCCGATGCCAGGGAGAGAAGAAAGAAGGCCAGTGAAACCAGCAGGGGGGGAGGACACCGCTGGACCGAGGGACAGGTAAGTGGCTGTAATTTAAGAGTCAGCAGCTACAGTTTTTTTTCAGGTGGAACTCCGCTTTAAGTGCTTTTTATCTGCTTTTACCTGTACCTGCTTTGTGATGTTTAGGAGGGTGCTGTGGTATAATGTTTAACATAAGTATCCCTGTCTACGGGCAGACTGACAACTCATGGGGCCCCCAGGCAATAGGGGATCATGGGGCCCCTGTGTCCTTGCCCAAACTCAAAAAAGCCTATGAAAAAGGTACTGACCCGGGCCCGAGTTTCTAAATGGTCAGTCTGCCCCTGTCCCTGTCTATACTTTGTTCCCATTTCATCGTTATCAGCTGTAAACCAGATTTGAACACTGCCTGTCCTATGAAAGAGTTAAAAATATTGAAATTGCCCCCACCCCATATATTGTATGTTAATGAGAGATAGCTCAGTTTAAGTGGGGACAAAGATACTGTGAGACTGTCCAGAAATGTTTTTGGAAACAAAACTGAAGAGCCACATCACTGCTAAGAGGCCCACATTTAACTTTATTCTCTAAAAGTTAGGGAGACAATCCAAAGAGTAGTCAATGTATTTTGGGGGTCCATCCATCAGGGCTTGATTTAACTCAACATGAATGAAGTGGAAGTGCGATGGGTTTTTAATGGTATTTCTTCTACTCTCACATATCAGGGAGAACTTCTTTCAGGTGTCAGAAAGAACTAGAACTACTCTGAGGTGCCAGTCAGAACTTGAACTACTCTCAGGTGTCAGTAAGAACTAGAACTACTTCAGGTGTCAGGGAGAGCTTACACCACTCTCAGATGTCAGAGACAACTAGGACTACTCTCGGGTGTCAGAGAGAACTAGTACTATTCTCAGGTGTCAGAGAGAACTAAAACTACTCTCAGGTGTTAGGGACAACTATCACAACTTTCAGGTATCAGGGATAACTAGAACTATTCTCAGGTGTCAGAAAGAACTAGAACTGCGCTCAGGTGACAGGGAGAACTTGCATCACTCTTAAGTGTCAGAGAGAACTAGGACTACTCTCAGGTGTCAGAGAGAACTAGCACTACTCTTAGGTGTTAGAGACAACTGTCACTACTTTCAGGTGTCAGGGAGAACTAGAACTACTCTCAGGTGTCAGGGAGAACTAGAACTGCTTTCAGGTGTCAGGCAGTATTAGAACTATATTGTGGTGTCAGTAAGAACTAGCACTACTTTCAGGTGTCAGGAAGAACTAACAATACTTTGGGATGTCAGAGCAAATTAGAACTTCTCTCAGGTGTCAGGCAAAATTAGCACTACTCTGGGGTGTCAGATAGAAGTAGCAGTACTCTTAGTGTCAGAGAGAACTAGAACTGCTCTCAGGTGTCAGGCAGAACTATTATTACATTTAGATGTCATCCAGAACTAGCACCACTCTGGGGTATCAGACAGAATTAGCATTACTTCCGGGTAGTAAACAGAACTAGAACTACTCCCAGGTGTTAGGCAGAATTAGCATTGCAGTTGTTGTAGCCAGGGGCGGACTGACAACTCATGGAGCCCCCCGGGCAATAGGGAATCATGAGGCCCCTGCGTCCTTGCCCAAACTCAAAAAAGCCTATGAAAAAGGTACCAGGGCCCCTACTGACCCCGGGCCCTCGGGCAGTGCCCGAGTTTCCAAATGGTCAGTCCGCCCCTGGTTGTAGCTATACTCCATAGTGTCAGGCAGACCTAGAACTTTTCTAGGGTGTCAGGCAGAACTAGCAGCAGTCCCAGGTGTCAGTTAGAACTAACACTATTCTTGGATATCATAGAGAACCGGAACTAGTCTTAGGTGTTAGGTAGAACTAGCACAATTCTTGGTTATCAGAGAGAACTGGAACTACTTTTGGGGGTCAGGTAGAACTAGTACTATTCTCGGATATCAGAGAGAACAGATGTCAGGTAAAACTAGCACTATTCTCAGATGTCAGAGAGAACTGGAACTACTCAGGTAGAACTAGCACTATTGCCAGATATCAGAGAGAACTTTACTCTTGGGGGTCAGGTAGAACTAGCACTATTACCGGATATCAGAGAGAACTGGAACTACTTTTGGGGGTCAGGTAGAGCTAGCACTATTACCGGATATCAGAGAGAACTGGAACTACTCTTGGGGGTCAGGTAGAACTAGCACTATTGCCAGATATCAGAGAGAACTGGAACTACTCTTGGGGGTCAGGTAGAACTAGCACCATTCCCGGATATCAGAGAGAACTGGAACTACCTTTGGGGGTCAGGTAGAGCTAGCACTATTACCGGATATCAGAGAGAACTGGAACTACTCTTGGGGGTCAGGTAGAACTAGCACTATTGCCAGATATCAGAGAGAACTGGAACTACTCTTGGGGGTCAGGTAGAACTAGCACTATTGCCGGATATCAGAGAGAATTTGAACTACTCTTGGGTGTCAGGTAGAACTAGGACTATTCTTGGATGTCATAGAGAGCTGGATCTACTCTTAGGTGTCAGCCAGCAGTGACCCCCCCCCAGCACTAGATGGCAGCATTAACTGTTCCAGATGATTGCTTTAATGACAACTATCATGAGAGGAAGCTGATCTTAGCTGTTAGTAGAGGGCACTGTTGGGAGATGGGCTGCTCATTCAGTTTAGTACAAACCCCATTTCCTAACAATGGATTCTTCATCCATAATGCAAATGAAAACTGACAGGAATGTGCTACACACCACTTGTCATACCAAGTTTAAGATGTAGCCATGTAGTCCAGCATGTAGGGGGAATCATTTTATCACATTGTATATAGGACCAGCTATATTCAGATCTATACACCTCACCGGCCACTTTATTAGGTACACCTGTTCAATTGCTTGGTAACACAAATTACTAATTAGCCAATCACATGGCAGCAACTCAATCCATTTAGGCATGTAGACGTGGTGAAGACAACTTGCTGAAGCTCAAACCAAGCATCAAAATGGGGAAGAAAGGGGAATTAAGTGACTTTGAATGTGGCATGGTTGTGCCAGAAGGGCTGGTCTGAGTATTTCAAAAACTGCTATTCTACTTCACACACAACCCTATCTAGGGTTTACAGAGAATGGTCCAAAAAAGAGAAAATATTGAGTGAGTGGCAATAGTGTGGATGAAAAGACCTTGTTGATGTCAGAGGTAAGAGGAGAATAGGCAGATTGGTTCGAGATGATAGAAAGGCAACAGTGGTTTAGCACAGTGGCTAAATAGTTAACACTTCCACCTTGCAGTACTAGGGTCATTGGTTTGAATCCCAACCATGGCACCACCTGCCTGGAGTTTGCATGTTCTCCCTGTGCCTGCGTGGGTTTCCTCTGGGTACTCCGGTTTCCACCCACACTCCAAAGACATGCTGGTAGGTAAATTGGATCCTGTCTAAATTGTCCCTCGTATGTGTATGTATGAATGTGAGTTAGGGACCTTAGATTGTACACCCCTTGAAGGTTAGGGACTGATGTGAATGTACAATATATATGTAAAGCACTGCGTAAATTGACGGCGCTATATAAGTACCTGAAATAAATAAATAATAAACAGTAACTCATGTCAGTATGGACTAAAATCTCTGAGGAATGTTTCCAACACCTTGTTAAATCTATGCCATGAAGAATTACAGCAGTTCTGAAGGAAAAAGAGGGTCCATCCTGGTACTAGCAAGGTGTACCTAATAAAGTGGCCGGAGAGTGTATAACCTGTCCTACATCCATTTGCTTGACCATGGTTTTTCTCGCAATCTGCAGTATCTGATGTATCCACAAGGTGGCAAACTTGGCACACCAAAGAGAATCTCTCCTATAGGAACATCTCCAAGACTAACTTTACGATTTGTCTACAAAACAGAGAAAAGGCCATAAATTCCAATAAAGATTCATAGAAAGGAAACCTTATTCCTCAGTTTTGCTGATAACCCCATTACTATTTTTAGATGCGCTGTTCCAAAAAGAAGAGAAAAATACTGCTGAATGATGTCCGAAGCGGCTTCATGCTTTCTCTGCCTATCCTTGAGGCACTAATTACATGTGACTGGCTGTGACACCAGGAGCCAGGCTGGGGACGCTGGTGTGTGTGCCAGAATTAACTCCTTGTCTGCAACGCTAGGGAAATAAAATGCAATCTACTGCTCCTGTCTGGAGATAAAGTAAAAGTCACGTTTCACACATGAACAAGTATGGAAGTGTCAGGTGTTACGGCCCTCTGAGTCCTTCCAACAGACCTGAAATATCATACAATAATTTATATGCTTTAGTCTCTATATACATTGCAAAAGGAGTGTTGAGAGCTCTGGATCCAGATGGGAAAAGCATGTCTACTCTCCATCTCCAAAGAGGCAGCACTCAGCTTTGCTGGATTTCCCCGAGGGTCCCTGGAAAAATCTTATCAACATGTAAAAGGATGGGAGTACCACAGCTTAGTGCAAGTCCAGTCTTGATAAAAATTCAAATGCCAAAGCCAACGCATTTCGGGGGTTCAAGGCTCCCACTTCATCAGGGCTTGGAAGCTGGCTGCAATAGAGGTTTATACAAGACAGACAATTGTAAGGCAGCTGTCAGCTGGAGAATAGCTGGAGTCAGAACTTTTTTTGTGCCTTAAAATTGCCTTACATTGGCTTTGTCTTCTAACTTTCCACCAAGATTAATAAACTTTGACTAGACTCGCATTAGCCTCTGCTGCTCTCCTCCTTTTACACTTTGCTCAGTCTCTATCGGGAGCGGACTGACCATTTGGAAACTCGGGCATTGCCCGAGGGCCCAGGGTCAGTAGGGGGCCCCATGAGATGCCCCTGGTACTTTTTTCATAGGCTTTTTTGAGTTTGGGCAAGGACACAGGGACCCCATGATCCCCTATTGCCCGGGGGGCCCCATGAGGTGTCAGTCCGCCCTTGGTCTCTATATACAGACATAATAGCTCTTGAGCAGAAGACCAAAACTTAGCCTATGCCTGATGAATCTGAGCAACTCTCCTCATCACATTTGAAATGTCAGAAGCTGTTCTACAGTATAATGTGAGGGGACATACCTTGTAACAGGACACACAAAGCAGGCCTAAGACAGGAACATAATAATGGAACTTGAACACGCAAAACAGTTCTGTTCTGAGTAGCTGGTAACTAGAGATGAGCTTAAAGTGGTTGTAATGGGTTTTTTTTAACTTCATGCATTCTATGTATGAAGGTAAAAAACCTTTAGTGTGCAACTCTCCCCTCAGCCCCCCTAATACTTACCTGAGCCTGATCTTCATCCAGTGATGTGCACAAGAGCATTGGCTCTCCCGAGTCTCTCTCTCCACAATGGCTGAGACATAGCAGTTGGAGCCATTGGTTCCCGCTGCTGTCAATCACAGACAGTGAGGAGGAAGCTGGGGGGGGGGAGGGGTGTGGAACTGAGCTACTCTCTGTGTGTCTGATAGACACACAGCTGCAGCTCAGGAGTAAGCATACATGAGTGCCCACTAGCAAGTGGCTTGCTCTGGTTGTGTTCAGCAAGGGGGAGGGGCCAG